GTCTTTTGCCTTAGACCACCCAAGCTCTACTAACCTGATGGCCTATAATTTATAGTCAGTAAATATAATCAAAACAGCTATAAATATAAAGACCTCTCCAGTGAGAAGATGGAACATGATATTTTCTAATTTTCAAGTTTATATACAAGAAATACAATGCTCTCTCTATCGCTCAGAATAATATCATCATCACAATAATATCCTTTAATTCTTCTTTTACTTTTCCCAGATATACACTTCTGTGGTGGGTCTGAAGGCTACCCTACTAAGATGGATAATTTTACAGGGTTGAAAGAAGGCCCCTGCCCTCAGAAATATTCATTCTTGGATCTATGTCTAAGTATCATTTGCTCTTACAAGTTCACAGTTTTCTCATCTTTATTTAAGAGAGAGAGAATGAGTGGGAGGGGCAGAGGGAGAGGGAGAGAGAACCCGAAGCAGACTCCATGCTGAGCACAGAGCCCACTGCAGGGCTGGATCTCATGACCCTGAGCTCATGACCTGAGTCAAAATTGAGAGTCAGATGTATAACCAACTGAGACACCCAGGCGCCCCTCAGATTTCTTATCTTTACAACAGAGCAGCTTAAATAAATTTTCCCTGAGTTACATTCGCATTTGAAAATCCTTAACTTGAAAATGATTAAATAAAACAATTGAAAATATGGAAATTAAAAACATAGTAAAAATTGATAATGTAAAGACATGACAATGTTTTAAGAGATGACTTTTCCTGAGTTAACATTGTTTGAAAACGAAATGTTCAAAAGGACTAATTATGTCCAAAGAGACATGGCTGTACTCCTGACCCAATACACAACAGCACGATCTGGTGATGGCTTGGGGATCCCTGACACTTTGCTGCCCCCTCATGTTTCAACACACTCTTGAGTTCTATTCTTTATTGCCCCTCAAGGATCTATGCAGGTGAGCCTTCCTCTAAGTAATAGAAGGATTCCTAAAAATATTCTGTTGTTACTATTTAAAAACAATCATAAATGAAATGTTCCAGAGAAGCTGACACGGCATCACTGTCTTCCTCCTCTACCCTCTGTTTTCAAATTAGCTTTAAGAACAACATCAAAAATGCCAAGCATGGATCAGTGTTGTAGGAAGAAACACTTGGTGAGTTACTCATAACCTGCTGACTTCTGGTGTTTGTCTAACTTATCTCCCTGAGTTTCTTCCACAGCACTGAGAGCTAGCTAATCATGGCCCCATTCTTCAAATGAGGGAGATAGGCTTTGCACTCCAGCTCCAAATGCTACACACCCTGTTTCTGTTACATCATAATAAAGAACAAGACAGCTATTTAGTATTAAGACTCTTTTATAAATGTAATTTGGAAACTTTTTTTGAAAAAAAAAATGGTGAGATCATTTTAGAACTATGTATTTACCTATTAGGTATGGAAAAAAACCTGCCAAGTGATTTACATGCGTTAACTCTAATGATACAAAATCAAACTCTCCTAGCTTTAAAACATATCAATTGGAATAACCTCAAAAAGGAAAAGGGTATTCTAAGTTCTATGGAAGAAAACTTTAGAAAACATACCATGACATACGTAGACCGTCAAAGTTCTTACCTCTTCTTTAAAAAAAAAAAAAAGCAGTTGATTTATGGAAAAGTTAAAGAGAGTTCACTATTTTCCTTCAGAGAGTTATGACTCCAATGTAAGTTCTTGAATTTTGAAAATGATTCTGAACCACACTTTCCTGCCCAGATCACAAAAGCACCGATATCTGTGGCAGGGAGGAGAGGAAGAGAGAGAGCACTGGGACCAATGGGAGGGCCCGTTTTTGACAGGCACCAAGGAAATATGTCCCTTTTGACCATTTGTGGAGAGCTCCGTATTTGCAGCTCCCCTGCAACCTTTCTCTCATTCTTTCCTTTTTTCATCTCTCTGCCCTATTCTTTCCATCATCCCTAGTTCTACATCAAGAGAATAAAGACAAGGGCAAAGTGAAAGAGAAAATGATGCACTCAGTGCTTACTCTGTGAGGCACTATGCTAAGAGAATCCACATGTGAACTCATTTAATTTGGCAATAACTGTATGACATATGATAACCAATTTATAAATTGGGAAACTGAGGCAGAGAAAGGTATGCGGCCTGCCCACGGCCAAGCAGCCATCATGGTAGAGCACAATTTGAATTCTAGATAGGTAGAGCACCCACGCTGCACAATTCCAGGGACTTCCGTCAGTGATGTTCTACAGGGTTGCCCCCCAGGGACCCTTGGAGCTGTCTCCACAGTGGCCTTTTGGACCCCCTCATGGACTTTGCCATGTGCTATACTTTTCCTCTAGATCCTCAACAAAACATTGAAGAAGGTCAAGTTCATCATATGGGATGCTCCACTGACTCTTTTTTATTTTTTTATTTTTATTTATTTATTTTTAAAGATTTATTTATTTATTTGACAGACAGACATCACAAGTAGGCAGAGAGGCAGGCAGAGAGGGGTGGGGGGAAGCAGGCTCCCCGCTGAGCAGAGAGCCAGATGTGGGGCTCTATCCCAGGACCCTGGGATCAGGACCTGAGCTGAAGGCAGAGGTTTTAACCCACTGAGCCACCCAGGTGCCCCCCCACTGACTCTTTTTAACACTCTTCCCTACCCTTCCCAGGACTGCCATAGAGGTGTAGGGGGGTTCCAACAATAGGGGGAGTGAACATGGCAGGTAGGACCTGAACAGTTAGGTGCTGAGGGAGGGAATATACTTTTCTGTGTCTCACCTTTTACTTCTGTTGAAGTAAAAGGGGCCCACTTTCCCAGAATGCGCTCAGAGAAAGGAATCTTTCCCTTTTATTGCCTTCATCTCCGTATCCTCCATTTCACTTTTCCACCTTGGTTCGCTAGGCTGGGGTAAGGAAAAAGACTTCCATTTTCTAGCTAATTTCCTGGTGTGCTTTGTGATGAACACAGCCACATGAAGCAGTTAATGACACTTAATTAGCTTCCTTTCCTAGGTAAGATATTTCTTTTTTTTTTTTTCTTTTTTTTAAAATAAACATATAATGTGTTTTTATCCCTGGGGTACAGGTCTGTGAATCGTCAGTTTTACGCACCTAAGTAAGATATTTCTGTAGCCTCATTGTCCCTAGGCCCCAGGTCAGAAGCTTGTGGGTACAAATGAGGCCATGTTAATCTTAATTCCCAGATTTCAGTTCCCTCTGGTATTGTTCCTGGGCTTCAATACTACGTGAACATTTCTGGGAGCTTCTAGAGGGTCTCTCACATGTGTTTAAGACAAAGTCTGTGCCCTTGGAGTGCAATTACTCTCCATTTAATCACTTCCAGGCATCTGCCAGAGTGGCTGGATAGCTGCCTGGACTGCTGACCACCCACCACTTCTTGATGGACACAACCATCTCCACTGGGACCTGCAGCTGCTCTTCAGGGAGGATGCTCCTGGGGGGCTGGCTCCTATGTGACCTCAAGCTACAAAAGCTTTCAGGAACCAAAATAGCACCACATTCTGCTCAAACCACAATGTCAGAGTCCTGCCTATGGCAAAAATAGCAGGGGTGGGAGGATGGCCCCTCCTCATCAGGGGTCAGATCTAGGGCCCAGAGCAGGGCTGGGGACGAGCTTGCATGCAGTCTCTCACACTACAGTATCCAGCTGTCTGCCTACAAAGATTGGCCTGCTTGTCCCTCAACATAGAAGTCAAGTGTACGGAGACAAAGCCATTCACTTCTACAGCCCTATCTCAGTGTAGGCTAGGCTCACTGACGCTGAATTTGGCTTTCTGCAAAGAAATTTGTTAGTCAAAGAACTTACTCTGATATATAGGAACTTCAGTTATTGTCCATCTCTCAACCAATGACAAAGAAGAAAACTGGTAAACCAGGCATACACCATGAAATGACAGTGGAAAATCATTACCAATAAGGTCTTGAAAGATAACCACGGGAAAGAGAATCAACAATTTAATATTCATTGAAGTACAAATCCTACTCAAGAGACACTAAAAAAGAACTACATTACCAACTATTCCAGAATCAACTCTGAGGTAAGGACCACAAAGGAGACCAGAGGAAAAGTGCTGACCTGGACAGTGAAGTTAACTTTCAAGCAAAGTTTTCTCACTAATAATAACTTAATGAGGAGCTCTCAGAATATTCTGAATTGGAGTCCAAGGAAGGCACTTGAATCAAATGAAGTATTGGTCTAATTTGGAGACTATGTTAATTTTCTTCTCGTATTAATTCTAGAAAACATAGGTTTGCTTTTCCAGGCAATTATTTTAATGAATCAATTGGGGTTTCAAGAAATGATTAAATGAGTTCAATTTGGTTTCAGGTTCAGCAAAATGAGATCATTTGTTCTGTTTTTGGTTCTGTTGAGGTCAAGTCCTGTGTCCAAAATAGACTAATAGGAATCAGGACAAATTTTTTTTTTTTTTTCTCTTTATGTCCATCGTCCTCCCTTCCCCTCCTCTTCTCTAAACATCTGTTCTTTTGATCTCACTGAACTTTGCTATGTTGTATAATTACTTCTTTTCTCCCCTCTCAAAGTAAAGTTCTTCTCAATTCTGAGTCCCAATCAGAACTATTGGAATGGGGTTCCTTCTTACACTCAACTGGGATATCAATTAACAAGGAATGTCCCTTTTATTTATGCTTTCACTTTCATTAAACCAAATTACCACACGTTAATATCATGCTGGTAGCATAAGCCTAGAAACAACACAGTCAACATTTGGAAGGTAACACTATCTCTTAAAATACAAATGCCCAGAGCAATGTTAAACTTAGCACAAGCACAGAATTAAATGGTTTTAAAAAATGGCACATCAGTAAAGATTTCCCAAATAATAGCTTTAAATGGACAACTTTTGGGCTCAATGAGACAAATGATAATGGAGAAAAAGGATCAATTTCTTTAAAATTATAGAATTGCAATATAAAATTGGTGCTAGTCTTATGCTGAACCTTGGAAGGTAGGGTTTCTTGCTAGATGTAATAAGAGTAAGCTACTAGATCTTCCTTACCTGTTATGGTGGCTTTGTTGATGGATGGTTGGTTGCACATGGGTGATCTTCTGACAGAGAGAGAAAAATACAAAGCAGTAAATACGTGGTGCATGTTAACTGGAGGACTCTCTGAGTCATTTCACATATGTCATTTTAATTTAAAGAATTATTTTTAAGCTAGGACATCCAAAAGAAGACTTCTTTCAGACTAGCCACTTAAGTTCCCAGGCACCCTTTGCTCTACAGTTCAGATCATACAGGTCAAAGAAGAAAACAGTTAAATCTCACAGTGATAGACTTCTGGGGAAATAAAGCTGAAGTAAATGTCAAAGGGACATGACAGAGGAGGACGTTCCTACTGACTGACTGGGTTCCCTTAAAGCAGGGCTTACAGAGCAAATACAGACTCGGTGAATCCAAAAAAGTCAATCTACAAGTCGTTTCCCAATTATGGTGGTGAGAAACTTTTATTTTTGGCACAAATTCTCAGAAGTGAATGACTCCTTGTAAACTGTATTACAATTAGAGAAGTCATTGAAACCTTTTCCTTTCTCTTTCCTCACACTGAGAACCATCTCCGATGCATTTGTTAGAGTGGTATATTAATGCTTTGTCCAAATAGATGCTACAGAAGCTTTAGAAATACTATAAACTAAAGGTACTTAAAAGATTCTATCTTTTGTTCTCTAAGTTTCCAGATGTTTCCCAAGTTTCACAAGGTGATTATAAACCCCTTGACCTAAAAAGCCCCTGCTATAAAACTAACGTATTCTCTACAGAGCCCAGAGCAATGTATCCAGTATTCAATCAATGCTTAATAAACTTATTGAAAATAATATAACTTAAGAAATGCAACTTTAGAAAGTTGTTCCTTACAATTGGAAGCTTTAAAAATATTGCACAGTGATCTTTTACACTTACGCAGCACTTACTAAACACTGTGTGTCAGACAGTGTGCTAAGTGAACACTTAAGATGGATATTCTACTTTGATCCTCAGAAGAGAGCTTAAGGAAAGTAAACTCACTGTTTCAATTTTACCAGTGAGGAAAATAAAGCTTGGGAAGTTGAATCACTTGTTCAGAGCAAGAGAGCTGAGATATGAACTAAAGCAGTGGGATTCCAGGGCCAGCGCTCTGCTATACTGTCTTACTTTTAGGATATTTTTGGGGAAACTGGACTAGCAGCCACATATCTGTGCAAATGGCAGGCCCCTGCAAAGCCGTGTGCACACCTACTCTTCTGAAATGACAAATCTCTTGACTGGGAAATGCAATCTAGTATTTTGTAAATTCTCACTGCCTTGGTTCCAGTAAGTATCTGGCTCTGTCTTATTGCTCTTAAGTTTATTGATGTCAGTTTGGGACTCAAGTTTTTGTGTTTGACTGGAAATGCATCAAAGTCGATTATGAAATTATTTTAGTTTTTATTAGTGAATGAGATAAGGAAATTTGAAACTTGATTAACGCTTCATAAAACAGGAAGTTTAATGCTTTAAATCGCTACTCTGAAATAGATCTGATATCTATATAATATAGTTATCTTGCTGAGAGTGTATTATTTAAATAGTTTATAGCTTAATTTAGTTCTTGCTCTGTGACAATTTAGGAAACATTTTATCTGAAATTTATCTGAAAAGTATCAAATGAACAGCCCTAAACTTTTCTACTATTTTGGAAAACCAAATTATTGACTTATTGTTTGTTATCTCCTCTTAATGTCAATCCTACAACCTGGGGACTTGATATTTCAACATGCAATGACAAGCAGAAAATATTAATCATTTGATTTTATGAAGAACAAACCAGAACTCATTCTGGAATTGAAAATCTCAAAGGCATGAAAGAGGAAGGTGACAGGATCCAATAGTAAGCTAGCAAAGTCAACAACGCGCATTTGAGTACCCACAGGTGCTAGGATTTGCTTGCATTCTTCCTGAACGAACTCCTTTCCTTGAGCAAACAAGAAGGGTGGATTGTGCAAGGTAGCACATGCCTTCCATAAAATCCATGGGTCAGCCTGGAAACGTTTTAGTGGCGCTGTAAGTATCCAGCAGGGAAAATTCTGATCCCCTCATGGTCATCATGTGATGGCCCAGAGTTATGACCATTTCACCATCACTGAGCACAGCAGAGTTTAACTGTGTGTAGACTGAATCCTACTATTCCGATACCTGAAGAGGTTGGTTTGATTTGAATCAGTAAAGGAGGTACAAATCTGCATTAACACAAAGGGAGACCACAAAGGCCTTTACTTAGAGTCTATCAGTGATTATTTTTTGGTTAGATGTCACTGGGCATACAGTAAATCAAATTTAGGCATAAACTATGGGTTTCTATCCTCCTCTAGCTGGTCTTTTCCCTCTAAAATCTGTCTTGTCCTTGTAAATCAGTTGAAAACTGTTGCTTTACAAGGAATGGGCTGTAAGTCATCTCTTCAGAGACAGAAGGCCAGGGTGATGCCTTTACACCTGTCTGGTCAACTGCTTGCCTGCCACAGGTTTAGATGCTGACACCCACGTGACCATGTCTGAAAGAAGTATAAAGGCATTATACAGTTTCTTGTTTGCCTTTTAAGGGTCTTGACTGAATTTCCTGGATATTTGGGACTGAAAAGTTTGGTAGTGACACCAGTAATCTCATGCCTCCTGTGAGGCTGAGACTTTGTAAAGAGGAGGTGACCTTACTTACAAGTTACCGAATGCCAAAAGCCCCACAAGGATATTGAGATCAGGGTGGTATTTTATGGCCATGGAGCACAGAAGACATGTTTGGTAATGAACAAGTACCTCAAGTGCACCCTCCAATTCCACATGCTACATTATCAGTTCGCTCTTCCAGCCAACAAGCACATGCAGAGTGATTTCTCTGTGCTGGGTATTATGCTAGGCACTCGGGCTACACATGTGAGGCTCACTGCAGACGGACGTTCTTAAGGTGCACTTGGACAAGAAAGTAGGCATACGGAGCACAGAGGGATCTATGTTAACATAGGAGCTGGGTGAAGGATATAATCAGACAGAGATGTAAAGGCATACCGTCAAGTTTGGGACCTGTGGAAATGAGTGTATGTTGGATGTCAGTCAGTGATGACGGTCCCAAATAAATTATATTTAATATGCAACTTAAAGAATGAATTATAGTTACTCCAATAGGTGGGGTTGGGGTGGAGAGAAGAAGGTGAGAAATATTGAAACTGAGGAAACGGGACTGCAAATGTTCATTACCTAGAAAAAATGACAAGTGACTGAAGCTTCTGGGTCCCATTTGAATTATTTGCATGGTGGCTTTTATATCAACTTTTTAGAAACCTTTTCTATCACAGGAAAAGCAGCATAATGGTCAAAGCTTTTTTTAATCATGGAAAATGTGAATTGGGGAGGTCAATTACATTATTATGGGATAGAAGGTTCAGATTTTTCATATTCTTTTATACACTTAGATAAGTTATAATTCTGAATAAATTTCTATTCACTGTCCTCTTACTATTGATTTAAAATTTTTTTTTTAATTTTTAAAATTTTCTTTTGGAAATTCTTTGTGGAGTTGATGTTTTAATAACTTTTTGTTTGTTATTAACAATAGATTGTCAAAATAAGGAGCATTTAAATAATTAGTTTTCCACTTAATCATAGGAAATTCTTTTCTCTTTTTAGATTTTTTGCTTTTATTAGCGTTCCCAAATAATACTCAATTCCCATCTCCGCTTTCCTTCTTTCAACTGCTTCCTCTGTTATCATAAAAATCACAATTTTATTAATTACTCCAGGACACTCTTGATCTAAGATTCAGTAATAGCAGGAGAATTAAAGATCTTTGGTATGATGATGTTTCTCCAAGTAATTGTCTTAGAATTAAGAGGATGACTTTGGATTGACTTTAAGTCTTGATAAGATTCTTTGTCCTTGTTTAATTTATGAAGTAAGCCAAAACTATAAAGTTACCCTGAGTGTAAATAACTGGGCAAAGGACTGATTATGCCAGATGATTTCTGACAGATGCAATCACCATATTTATTTCTCATACTACTTCATTTCTGATATTAGAACCATCACTACAAAGTATTTATAGAAAATTAACAGGACATCTTATGACTTAGTGTAAATGGTTAGACAACATGGCAACAACTCAGAGAAATCTAATATATTGCCCTGAGTTCAATCAAACTGAGAAAACACCGTTTAAAAGTTCAGCAAGAAGGCCTGGGGAAAGAATAACTTACTTGCTAGGTGCTCGATCTTGCAAATTAGTTAATGCAGCAAAGTTGTTTCGTACAGTTCGCAGGCTGGCCAAGACCTACAACAAAAAGGGATTCTTTAAGCTACTTGGAATACAGCCATTTTTAGTGCAATTAAAATGGCTTGGTGATTTAAAAAATAGTCTGTTAAGTGAAAACCTGATAATACTTTCAACCTAGTTTCATATACCACTGAAGAATCTTCTAGCCCTTAGTGAAGTTTACATCTATCTATTTGAAATCTAGAAAGGCCTGATTGCAAAATTTTCCAGACATTTCTCCTCATCGTCTATGACTATGGTGACAGAAGCAACAGTTTTCACAATATTCCCAGGCAATATACATAGAGCATTGTTACATTTAGTGCAAACTTTAAATAGTATAATATAAAATAATAATAAACTCTCACTTTAAGGGTTAAAATTGTAAATATATATATCACCAAATTCTCCTCAAACATTGACCAAGAATGTCAGACTTCCCAAAACAGAAAGCTAGGTGAATTTAAAAATTTTTTTCACCTTTGCTACATGGCTATCTATCTTTGTTAAGGTTATTTGAATCATTAACTATAAGATTCTTAGGGATGCATTTTCACATAAAACAGGACCACCCTGATGTGCACAGAGGTGAGCCCATAGAAGATACTAAAAACAATGTGCTGAATAAGTGAATACATAGACATAACACACCCATACACATAAAGCAGGACCAATATGTTCCCCTACTTCTGAAGGTCCTTTTTCTAATTCTAGTGAAAATAGAAGGTGGCAAAAGAACTGGAAGTAAGACCAGGAGAGAAAATTTACAAAGGCTTTTCTTGCCTCCCTTTCCACTAAAATGGGCAAGTTTCCCCCAGGGTGGAGTCTATATTGAGGCTATAATTAATCTGGGTGACAATGATAATGTTGAAGTTGCACTAAAACATAGATCTCAAATGTCCCATTAGGTAGTACATAACAACCCAGACTACCTGACTTTGTTATGTATTCGCTGTGTGAACTTAGACAAATTACATAATCTCTGTGGGCCTCAGTTTCCTTTTCTAGAACCCGAGATAAGGATAGCTATCTCTGAGGGTTGTTGTGAAGATGATATGAAATGATAAGTGCCAAGACAGTGTCTGGCAAACAGAAAGCACACAGTGAACATTAGCCCATTATGGCAACATGCCATCTGATTAATGATCTGGTGCATGCATAGGGTGTTTACTTAATGCCTATCGTTGGTTAAAAAAAGGGGGGGGTGAGGAATGCAAATTTATAATGGCTCCAAGTGTTCCAGAATTATACCCAGAATGTTTTCATCTGGCACTGACTTAGACTAAAGGCGGCCTAAATATTTTTCTAAGACAAAAATGTCTCAGACATTTCTGAAACTGACCTTATTTTTTATACGTCACTGGGATGCTGTTTGCACCCTAGGATGGCGACCTCCATCATTATCCCCTGAAGGAGTTAATGGTGCTTCCTGAGGTGCCAACCATGATTAACTCAGGCACTGGAAAAACCTAGCTCATTATCACATATAAACAACTCACAGCTCTGAAAGGTCATGCTGCCTATGACGGAGTATTCAAATAGCCAACTGTTGACATCAGAGCACGCTGTCTTTCGTAAGGTATGAAGTCTTGAATGACGCAGAAATAAATCTGATAAATGATCACTGTCATTAAGTCATGCAAGCCTAATTTATGCTTTAAGAATTGAATACCAAATACACTAATAAAACATTTTAAATAAGATTATTGCACCCTCTAAGTGCTCCTTTTTCTAGGCAAAATTTAACCTCAGAATTCTGAGAACTAGGTTCTAATAAATTATACTAAGTGCACTACACTTGGTACCTAAGTAAATAGAAATAGTGCTGCAGGTAATTCAAGTTCTCTGCTCATTTGAAAGGAAAAATTAGTTCATGAAAGTTATACTATAATTGTTTTCTGACTGTTATAATAAAATATTAAATCAGATTACTTTTTTCAGTTTTTAATTTAGATTTGATGTATTTCTTTTGCATAATCTATATTTTCATGTGGTACAGAATTTAAACAATAAAAAGGTAGAATGTAGAACATATTCCCCTCATTAAAAAAAGACAAAAACCCAAATTATTGTTATTTGTGAGAGGAAGCAGATAGATGAAATCAGGGAAGTATGCTCTGGGGTATTAAAAATATTGGTACTGTTCTATTTCTTTAACTGTTGATTTTAGTGTTCTTTATATTTTAGATAGTCACTAGAAATATTCTATTACATGTATGAAGAATTTCCAAGTAAAAAGTGAAAAAGAAATTTACTCCCCAGCCCCTCCCTCTAGGCATTCAACTGCCTGTCCCCTCTACCAACTGACTTTTAAGTTGTCTCCTAAAGTTTCCTTTACAAGCACTGCTGCAATAAATAACTTTGTAAATCCATCATCCCTTATGTGGTTAAGTATTAGACCACTGTTTTTGTGAAAGTCAAATAATACTAAGTTTTATATTAAGGATGATTAGATCCTGCGCTATGGCACACATATGATAATGGCAGAAGTGTAAATTAAAGTTCCAGACCAGAGGCACCTGGGTGGCTCAGTTGATTAGGCATCGACTCTTGGTTTCTGCTCAGGTCCTGATCTCAGGATGGAGGGATGCAGTCCCTCCAAGCGTTCTGAGCTCAGCACAGAGCCAGCTTGGGATCTTCTCCCTCTGCCTGCCACCATCACCGTGGCCCCATACCCACCCTGGTTCGGACATGCCCATTCTCTCTCTCAAATAAATAGGTAAAAATAAATTTTTTTTAAAGTTCCAGACAAATGTTATAGAAAACATTACCCTAAATTTAGTTGATTGATTCTAGGTGGCTACATCACCAAAGCACTGATTTCGTCTTTCACGCTTTCACTTGTCTTGCAGACTACAGAGTAAGGCATCTGGTTCTATATGCTATGGGAGAGAACTGCAAGCAGTTTTACTCAAGCCCTTGAGTAAGGATTTAATTATTCTTTTCTTTTGCCATAGGGCAGTTCTCACTCCCCTTGAATTCAACCTCTTAAGAACTGTAGTCAGGGCTTTAAAATTCCTATACTTTTCTCCACTCCTAAATGCTTGCTAACCAAAAAGAACTTTGAGGCTTTCCCTTATACAGCTCAATGGTTAGAAAATTAAGGCTATTTCTTTCTCTTTGGCCACTCCAAGCAAAAGTGTAATCAGTCAAGGTCAAAAATGCGCTTGAAATGATGAGAAATATACACACTTTAAGAAAGAAATCATGATGGTGCTATGGAAAACTGGCAGAGATGGGTCATGTACTGGCTCGGGACAAGGATTAAATGTTCTTTACACACACACATCTCAGATTTTCTTACTTTTAACATTTATCAGCCAATAAGATTCACCGAAAATAACAGAACAAAGTCGGCTTCACTGAAAAGTTAAACAACTGAACATAGAGCCTAAACACAATGTATGCTTCTATAGTAACCATTACTCGAACAGATTTAAAGAGGAGACTGCTGTCAACAAACAAAAAATATGTGGCAACAACATTCTCTTTAAAAACCCCTACTTAAATAGTAAACAAAGAATTTTGAGAATTGTTTTTCATTACAAATACACTTCAGGTCACTAGATGGTGCTAAAACACAGACCAAGAGTTGCCACTGGCGCTGGGGGAAAAGAGAAAGAGGAAGAATTCCTAGTCTCGGTTTTAGTCCAGAAAAACAAAAACAAAAACAAAAACAAAAACAAGCAAACAACAACAATAACCAAAAAATGGAGTCAAATTATGATTACTTAGAAGATAGGTCATTTTGATAGAAACCTTTCCAAGTTATGTTTTGGTTAAACTGTACGAAGTTGCTCTTCTTGTATGTAAACAAAGGTTGAATACTGATTATTTCATATAGTTCAATCTAAAAAGTACTAGGATTAACAGAAGATGCTAGCTGTTAAGATCCAAGGAGAAACTAACAGAAGCAACTGAAATGTGATAACCAGCTTCCAGCAGGGGGCGCCTGGTGGCTGCATCAACCTGGAGATTGAGATGTGGCCACAAGGTGGCTGCTGCTAGTTGAAATGGGGCAGGTATTTAAAAAACACAGGCAGTGTTCTATTACCAAATGGAATAATAGTGTTCTATAGTGTTAAAGGCTAGTACATTTTTTTACACAATTATCCCAGACGCTGTATTTTGATTAATGTTAAAATGACTCATATGTTTTTACCATGTAGACTTAAATCAGGCCTATCTCTTTAGTTTGAATAACATGAGGCTTTTCCAGGGATCCAAGAAAATAGTTGGGTATTTTCTGTCTCTTCCTCAGTCAGATATTCCACTTCTTTTAACAGTCAATACTTCAAGATGAGAATTTTAAGTGACTTATAGTTTCACAAGGTAGTCATATCACATATTTGGGTGGGTGTGGCCAGAGGCAACTAATTACAAAGCAGAGTCTCCAGCATTTCATCAGTGTCGAGACCTGTTGGTATTCCTGAATCCCCCTAACGAGCTCTGGCCAAACTGTTACTATATTTTTAGGAGGAAAAGGCCAATTGTGCAGCAGCATGACCTGGCATGGCACTGGGATTCCTCTCTACACCTAGCCTTGGTGCCTAAGGAAATCCCCACACCAAAAGATTTCAACAAAAACAAACTATTTCAAAATGGAACTAAATCACATCTACAAAAATGTCACTTTTTTGAGGACCAAAAGGATTCTGAGCTTTATGGGGGAAACAGATGAAGTTAGAAGTGGCAAATAGTGTGGGTTAAACGCCAGCAAGAATTTCTTACCCTGACAGTGTCGGAGACATGGGAACACGACCTGAAGCAGGGTCGTAAGACCCTTTCTGAAGATGACATCTATCCTGGATGGGTTAGGGCTCAGCCCTGTCCATCAAACTGGATGTCTTTCTAAATTCTCTTATAACAAGATTCTGTTCTCTTAGCTTTACAGGAAACCATGACTAGGTAAAAAACAAAACAAAACAAAACCAGGGAGGGATTCAAAATGTCAATACTAGTTATTTGGGGAGTTGCAATTATGAGAAATTTTCATTTTCTTCCTTTTCCTTTTATTTTTTTCTAAACTTTTTTATGGAAAAAAATTCTATTCTGAAAGAAGTTTGTTTTTTTTTAAATACATTTTTTAAAATTTATTTTAGAGAAAGAAAGAATGGAAGTAGAGGCAGAGGCAGAAAAAAATATAAAAGACTAGATTTCCTACAAATTTAAGACCATTGATGGTAAGGACAAAATCAAATTTATTAATCTATTTATTAGAGAAAAAATCTATCAAATAAAAGTATTTATTATTACTTAAGAAATAATACCTGAAGTAAGAGATAAGTATCATGCAGATTTTTTCATTTTTTACTATATATTTAGATATATATATATATATATTTTTCTTACAACAATATCTAGAGATTTTACTTAGAAGTAAAAATAACTACCTGAATAAACTGTAGTTGGAATGATTATTTCTATGTTTGGTGATGGTTACTTATGTTATTTTTCCTGATTTTAACTGGTCACCCAGCTCTCAGTTCTTAGAAATAAAATTATGGATTCTCAATAGTAATCAATTAAAAAATCTCTAAATTTGTGTGATCTTGTTATCCTAAAATGTGATTAGAACTTTGAAGAGTTGTAAATGTTTCTGAACATAGAAATATAGGTACTAGAAAGAATTTATGATTTCCAGCAAAATCGTAAGCAAACAAAACAGTAACTTCTAAAAAATATGGTGGTCATATTCTATCTCTAATTGCCTACAGTAATGAAAAAAATCACTTTTATATGGTGTTTATTTATGGATTCATTAAGTTTTTGGTCTGAATTATAGCAATCACAAAATTTCAGGAAATTTGAATAAGGTGAAGAATTATACGCAATCCTATTATCCAAACACTGCCAGTATGTAACTAAAAAACAATCTATTATAACATTTTTGAGATGAAACAGCTCTTAACTAATTACAACACTTAAAATTCATCTTGTTTTCTAGAAATTGTGCTGAGCATTTCACAAGCTTGGTATTATTTTAAGATCTTATAAACCTTATGAAGTAGGTTCTCTTGGGACTTTCATTTAGGAGAGGAGTATAAACCAGGCTTGAAAAAAGTTCAGCGACTTGCCCAAGGCCATTCACTGAGCAAGAGGAAGAGATAAGGTTTGAACAGACATCTACCTTTATCCAGGCCAAGTCGTCTAATTTTACCAGTTGAAAAAAGAAGTCGTAGAGAAGTTAAATGAGCTACCTGAGGCACTAGAACTAGTTTTGATTATGATTATGGTTAGCCTTGATTACCATTTTTATAATCTGTCTGGATCACTTGTAACCTAATATTCAACATTTCTTTTTAGAGTTAGTATTGGCGTTAAGCCTGTATTATACCCCAGTTAAATCAGTAATATCCCGTCCTGTTCCCATCTACCTATACCAATGTCTCTCAACTTTTCCTGGAAAAATACTGGTCCTTTAAAAAGTACAGGTGCTTGGATCCAACCCCCAAATGTTTGAATTCCATTGATCAGGGATATGGCCTGGGATAACAGCCTTCTAGGTGATTCTTATGTGCAGCTAGCGTGCCAAAGCACTGGCCTATACAAAGACTATCTGCCTATCAACTATTTTACACATACTCTAAATGCTTTAGATTGTTTTATCACCTTCTAGAACTTATGTTATGTGGTTAAGGTATTTTCATGATTTGTAAGCCTAAAAGGAACAAATTAAGATAAATTTAAATCTGTACAAATGACACGTAAAAAAGGAGTAAATAAAGCATCAAGGTGAACTAAAATATTAAATTTCAAGCCCTGATCATGTATTTAATTATACTAAATGTAATTTAACCCACAATATAGCTCTCTGCTTCCAGTGTTTATATTAGTTAAGGAAATATGGTCACATTTAAATTTATCACTTAGGTAATTTGTAATCTGAAGCAAAGACATTCTTTGGGTCTATGGGTTTATAGGAAACAGCCCAATATGGTTAAGGTCACATTCTCTAGCATTGCCTTTGAATTACTTAAATGAACCACAGAATTTTTATTTGCATTTGCATCTGACTTAAAATGAAATTAAAAACCAGAACTAATCCCCTAAATTAAATTTCCACATCTGTGAGAAACCTGCCCATTCACCAAACCGTGCTTACCTGAGCAAATGGAGTCACAATCAAGTCATCTCCATGTCTGAAAAACAAACCAAATCTCATGTTAGAAATTATGATAACTCTGTGACTACTTTTGATCAGTACTAAATAATAAATTGTACTATCATAAATTTCCATAGAGAATTACAGTAATTCCATCCTTATTCTTCAATACATGTTATTCCCAGCCAGTGGGTTGAAAAACTGTCTTCGGGGATGTTAACCATTGTCCATCTGCCTGGGCGAAAAGGGGCTCCTTGATCATCAAGTAAGGTTACTGTTACTTATTACGTGCACAGGATATACAACAGTAGAAACAGAGTCCCAGCTGCATGTCCTGAGTTTTACTCGTGACTTCTTATTGTAGGCATTAGTAAGAGATGCTGTGGAAGGAGCTAGCAACTGCAGGGGCCTCAGTGAGAGGGCCCTGGACCATCTAACATTTGAAGGTGATGAGCATCGAGTGTTCCGCATCACGGTGTTTGAGTTTGGACAGGCTAGCAACTGCAGAGGACACGGGACTGCATCATACACTAATAAAAACCCGGCAAAACTTTTCAACTGACTCACGTCCCGCTGCTGTAGCTAATAGGGCAATGTTACCCGGTGTGTGCTGTTGCTGCAGCAACGTTGGCCACACCAAGACTGGGATACAGGAGCAAGGTGTCAGCATGACGTGTCTCAGAGAAACCAGGAAAGGCAAGGAAGGTTGTGCAACATTCTACTTGGGGGAAAGTGAGGAACTGGGGCCCAGAGTTCTTTCGTGGTATTTCTTAGCATGGGTGACTCGTGAGAAACATTTCCAAAATTTCCATGGGATATTTTGTGATCTGGCTAGCTGAAGCTCTTTCATCAAAAATGAATGTAATTACTCTACACAGAAAGCTTCCTGACATGACTGAGAGCATTGCAACTGAACTGTGCACTCGGTCATGAACAATTCTGGAAAGGACTGAACGATCTCAAATACCACCCATGAAATATGTTTTAGCACAAGCAGCATATGGGTGATGTCAGTACAGGATCGTTACCAATGATTAGACCATTCGTTACGGCCATCATCAAATTACACAGAGATTTTGAAATTCAAAGTGTGGGAAAATAAAAAGCAGGAAATGTCGGAGCACACTTTAAAGGAAACGTGCTATTTTGCACTCCTTCGCTCCAGGATTACATTTGGGGGAGTGGTATGGTAACTGATTTTTCTGTAGATTATTCAGATGGTCAAAATTAAAGTAATATGAAATCTAGATGTTTTCCCAAGGGACAGTCTTTTCTTCCACTTCATTCTTTATAATTGCCTGCTTACAAAGTTTATTTTCTAAGAATTAAGTTATGCTGACCAAGGCACACTGCTAAGCTGAAACTGATCCCTAGAAATAAGTTTCATTTTTTACATGAATTACATTGGATTACTCTAAACTAAAAAGGGTGTGAATGCTTATTAAAACATGAATTCTTTCTTTGATTGTATTTTACTCCTAAATTCTGTAAAAGATATATTTAGAACATAAAATATTTAGGATGATTTACCAGTCTTGCTTCCCTTCCCTGTCAAAGCAGAAAGAAAGACCATTATACTTTTAATCATGGAGATACTTCATTCCTCAGAAATTGTTTTTGCCAAATATCTCGACTGTCTCATTTCAGTAACAGTAAAATTATTTCTACTCTTCCAATGGGCATATGTCCTCAATTGAGGGCAAGTTATATCCTATCCTCTTTTCAAAATGATATAATGCTTAAGTAATCTTTGAATATATGACAAATATATACATATATGTATATATGTGTCGTATATATGTATATACGACAAACGACATATATATGTATATATTTGTCGTTTGTCGTATATACATATGTCGTATATATACATATATATGTATATATGGAGAGGATTATATAGTATTATCTCTCATTTATGTAAAAATCAAACAAATATAGCAACAATAAACTTTAACAAAAAAGGAAAAGGAACTGCTTTAAGGAAAGAAAATAGCTTTTGGAGGGGGATTGGTATATTCATAGGGACAGGTGGGAAGGGAGTCATACGGGATGAGGGGTGAGATCAGAAAAGAGGCTCCATTTTGGACATTGTATGTATGTATGCATGTGTATATGTGTGCGCACGTGCATGCATGTGTGTGTGTGTGTGTGTGTGTGTGTGTGTAGTATGTATGCATGCATGCATGTGGGCAATGAGGTCATTTGTACCCAGGTAACAGTCACAGCAGTCAGTGTACACACTCCAGTCTCATGATGAGGAAGGAGGTTCTCAATAGCCCACCCTGGCTACCACAGATTGAAACAGAATCTCCCAGTCTAGGTAGGGAGGGCTGGCTGTCCCCTCTCCCAAGAACTTGCTCAGTGTGCACTGTTGAATTTTTCCCCCAAAAAAGTAATGACAGTGAGAGTCAAGAACTACTTTCTGGGCCTTTGGCCATCCTTCCCCTACTTCTGTATCACTTACTACTTTATTTTCAGCCCTCATTCTTCCTACAATAAGAAGCCAGAAACATTAGCAAAAAGCTGAAGGAAAAAACCCAAAAGCAAACCCTCACAGAGATTTCACTGGGATCCGGAAACTATTCGAGTCCTTAATTGTGGCAAAGCCCCTTGTCATCTAACAAAACAAATCCAACCAACAGTAGCAGCAGTAAACTAGCTCATTTCAAAATTGTGTTGAAGCACGCAAGGCCGCCACCTCTCCACACTTCATGATGGTCAAAGTAGAAGGAAAAGCAGATGACGTTATTCAGAAGAAAGTTTTACTTTATTAACCAAAGACCCCCTAATCCTCTGATACAAAAGCACTAAGGGCCATGAAGTCCCGACTGCCACCGAAGACTCTGCCCGGCAGTGACAGCCAGCAGGACAAGCAGTCGGATGAAAAAGCACGTCTGACGCAAAGCTGAAGGCTTACTTTCTGAACTGAATCTCATGCAGACTTGCAGGTCTTCCGTGCTTCACTCGGTCTGGCTCTAAAGCTAGAAAGAAATTCTCCCCTGGAGTTTGTCAGAGAGGATTAGGGATCGGATAAACTTACAGATGACTGGGTGTTCTGAAATCCTGGTTGTCTTTCTTCCCTTTGACTCAAAACCATCTCCCATTCCCCAACTCACCCTTGATCCACCTCTTCTGGAATGGTAGAGAAACAAGTATGTTCTCATTTCTAGAGTGTACATAAAAATGTTTCTGAACACCTAGGCTATCTGACAACCCCCAAGAATTAGCCACAGGAGGAATGCATCTACTCACCCCTCTACTCCCATATTCACGGAAGTACAGACATATAAAATACACAAACAAATATGGAAACAGATTTCTATACTTGACCTTTTAAAAAACTAATATGTATATTTTGCATGTAAATCACATATTAACTGAAGAAACTTTGGAAAATACAAAAAAAAAAAATCCTTGCAGAACTACTCAAAAATAACTGTCAATAACATTTTTCTTCCGGATGCATGTAAGCACATATGTGTTAGATATGATTTTTATGGAAAGCAGGATTTCTTACACAATTAGAATCATACTGTATATTGCATTTTATATCTTGCTTTTAACATTAAACATATTGAGTCCTGAAAAACTGTATAAGCCTTCATACTTTTAAAACACTTTTAATGATTCCAGTCTATTTTTAATAATCTCTAAATTTTCCAAGTAGATATCAATCCAATTTCTTAAAATCTAAGTGCTGATTCTATTTTAAAATTAAAACAATTTTAAATAATGTATGAATACTCAAACTCATTTCAGTTCTTCATTCCTTTAAGAACAACTCACTGAAGAAAAATGTGTTTATTCTGATAAAAAAATTCATAAGATAAAGCTAAGTATTAAAATAGTACATGAAGAATTGGGTTCACTGAGTACAGATTCATAGAGATGTTGAATATTTTATGTTGTTACCCTTTTAAATTAAAATCACAAAACTATGATTTCAGACAATAAAGGTATTATAGAAAATATAGTTCCCAAGTACATTTTGTGAAACTAAATTATATTTTTCCATAGATATCATTTTTTTTTGTTTTTTGGGTTTTTTTTAAAGAGTTTATTTATTTATTCAACAGACAGAGATCACAAGTGGGCAGAGAGGCAGGCAGAGAGAGAGGGGGAAGCAGGGTCCCTGCTGAGCAGAGAGCCCGATGTGGGGCTCAATACCAGGACCCTGGGATCATGACCTGAGCCGAAGGCAGAGGCTTTAACCCACTGAGCCACCCAGGCACCCCAAATAAATAAAATCTTTAAAAAAAAAAAAGAATATAATGATCCCTTTAAAATTACTTATGAAGAAGACATCATGATTTTGGTAAACTCCCAGTAGACATCATACCACTAAAACAAACAAACAAAAAAAAAATGAAAAAAAAATGTGCTTCATTTGTATCAGATTCACCTGATGATATTGCTCCTCTGTATCACTTGGCCTTTTAATTTAGAACTGGCTCCACTCTAAGCCAAATTAAAAAAAAGGTAAGTAGTACCCAATTTATGGAACCCCAAAGAATGAAGTTCCTTTGTAACAAAACCAACCTCTGCCAGACCTGAATCTGATTTTCCTCTCTGAAGCTACTGCCATATAGAATTCAGGTAGTCCATTACCACAAAACTTGGTCCTGTGGTCAAAAGTCACAACTACTAAAACTTGCATTTTGGCAGGAATGCTCAACATTTTACTGAGAACCCAAAATAATGTAAATTAGTATAAAGGTAAAATTAAAGCTGTTCAATATTGTATAAGGTAGTATCTTCCAATTAGAATTTTTTCAGTGTCAAATTTCAAGCCACGTTTATATATATTTGTATACATAATTTTATGGTATTTTGATAATGCTAACTATAATTATCAGTCATCAAGTTGGAATGTTTACCCTAATTGAATAGCACCTTTGTATTTATATTCCATACCAGCACAAAAATGAAAAAAAAAAAAAAAACCACAAAAACTTACAGCTCTTTCCTCAATTTTAACAAATAAGCTAATATAAATACAGATAAAGGGAACCTGGGTGACCTAGTCAGTTGATC